TTTTTTATTATTAAATTTTTTTTAAAAAACACACCCACCAAATAATACATATTATTAAAAAAGAACTGCATCCCCAACACACAATCCATCCAATCACACACCACACACACACATCACCCTCACACAGCAACCTAAAACACACAGCACACACGCACACACACACAGCACCCTAACACACACAGCAACCTCACCCACAACGACTTTATCATCATCTCAATTTATATCTTCCTAAAGAATATTTAATTGCAGCCTGTTATCAATAAAATGTATGGCCCAAGCCAAAATCTCTTAGATGTCATTAAAATTTCAGCAGCTGTGGCTCAGGACATGATTTCTACTAATATTGGGTATATTATTATTATTATTATTATTATTATTATTATTATTATTATTATTATTTATGTAGCGCCACCAAGTTCCATACCACTGTTCCATGGGTGGACTAACAGACACGTAATTGTAACCAGACAAGTGGATGCACAGGAACAGAGGGATTGAGGGCCCTGCTCAATGAGCGAACATGCTGGAGGGAGTGGGATATAGTGACAAAAGGGTAAACGTAGGGGTAACAAAGTAGAATGCTAGAAAAATATTCACTAAGGTCTTAGTAGATTATTTTTTACAGTTGCAGGAGAGGAGTCATGGAGGCGAGGGGGTGGGGGGAGGTGAAAAGTTATTAACAGTTTAATTAATACGCTTTCCTGAAGAAGTGAGTTTTTAATCTATATCCCAGTTCTGCCAAAATTAGGGCCCCCACTTGAGTTGTGCTTATATCAAAAATCTGCCAATACATATGATTATACCATCCAATAAATTTAACAAAAATTGGGTGGGGGTTAGATTCATTTAGGCTAAAATTATACATTGAACTTGATAAAATTACAAATTAATTTGTTTTATTTATTTATTTTTGTTAGTTTTCTTTTTTTAAATTGGGTTTAAAATGTACTTATTTTAGGTGGAGGTCCACACAAATAGGTAGGAGCCCCCAAACAACTAGAACGGCCCCTGCACAAGTAATAATCTTATTCACTAAGAAAACCATTCCTTGTATCACATTTGCTGGAAAACAAACAATTATTTCATCAACATCGACAGAAGAAAAAAATAGCAACTTCAAAATCACTGTCTAGGAAATATTTCATGTGATCTGGTCTACAACAAAGTTTCAGATTAGCAACTGTTGTCAGCATAACTGTGTGTTTTTGGTGTGAACTAATGAACTCACAGCAGGAATTAAAGAAAGAACTTTTGCTTTTTGTTGATAGTGCAGAACGTTCGTGTATTTCATACTTTGGTCTCAGCTGGACAGCGGACGTCATTGGTTCCTGTGTAGAAATTATTTCGTAAACAACGACTTGGGGCTTCTCAAGTAGTGCAAATGGTACTAATATTGTTGTTAATGCTTAGAATAAAACTGAACAAACAATCTAACATGCGTCCAAGCTGTTTTTAACAGTATGGAATATTACATGCTGCTTGTTCCGCACAAAATGTGCCAAAATGCAATGTATGTACTTTAAACTGGTTTGACAGCACTTTTCTTGACATCAAATGATCTACTTCAGCAGTAATTACTACAGCGGAGCTTGCAAAATGTATCCCATTGGCACTGGAATAAGCTTGATAACTTTTACCTATAATGGAGGACTGCAGATAATTACTTTGTTCTTTGCTTGTCTTAGATAAGGTCACTGCATTACAAAGGTCCAGAACGTGCCTCGTTACTGGTGAATGTGTTTACTATTTCAATGTATGAACAAGCATAACCTAAAGCATATTTTTATTTATTCTGCTGTTATTTTGTTGCATAACTTCTATAAAGTTGTTATAATAATAAGTGAATTATTGAGGATTTCCTTATCATTTGCACATTATTATTATTATTATTATTATTATGGATGCTGAATACTTAATCATTGTGTTCATACTTTTTGTTGTTTTGTAAGTTGTTTTGATTTTTTAACAGCTTTATTAGAATATAATGTCATGCAAGAAGACAGCTGAAGTTCAAGTGGTTTATGTTGTCTTCAGAACATCTTTTTGACATATTCCCGTAACAAATGGTTCAATTAACTATGCACAGTAACAAAATATTACAGGGATTTGACCTCTCACTATCTTTCTTTATACCTTGGAAAAATGTACAGCACATGTACAGCTCACTCACCAGTCCGACTGTGGAGTGAGTATGGAAATTTGTAGTAGAGGGTTATGAGTAGATGTCACTATAGGGAGTTTGATCGATTACGTTGGGGATATTGCAAGGGTAACTGACTGACTGCCGTCATTCATAAAACACCAATCTAAACATTTTTCTCTTTAGGTTTCTTAGAAGACAATCTCTATGTAATGATATCGCTGATATAGAACTCTTTCAGGATGGCTCAGATTTTGGTGTGCCAGTGTCATGCACCACGCTACCACAATTGCTGTACTGATCTCCATGCTGACTTGATAGCACACCATAAATATCCAGCATTTTATGAGAACATTTAATTACCAGGGGAAGTGATGGAGAGAAAACCACAACTATGCAGGGCAAGAGCGAGCTGATTTAGCCCATTGGAGGGAGTAAATACTCCCTGGTACTTTCTTACTGATTGATTTATATAGTTATTAAATAGCACTTTCTGACTGTTTTGATGTCATTATAAAACCAACACAGATCCCATTTCAAAGACCAACTATGCCCTGACTAGCTTTCAAAGAATACAGTGTGCTATGTATTTTCTAGAATCAGAACCATGACAGGAGCTATACTTGCGATAATGCCTCACAGTCGACCTTTTCAAGGGTGCTTGGTGGAGTGTTGACATCAATTAAAAAGTCACAGTCATAGATCTATACATTTTCCAAACGCTGAAGAGGAGTGTCCCAGGCCAAAGAATGCTTTCTGCAAGAGGGGTCTATTCAATGTCATGGTTAATATACATGACTCATAGTAGTTTCCTAATATGAAAGAAATGGGTAAACCTATTTAACTGCATCAACTATCAAACAATATAGCCATGATCCAGTATCTTCCCACGATCGTCCATGCTTTGGTGACGACACATTTAGACTACTCTATTATGGTCTACAGGAAACTTACTCCACAATCTTTATTGGTACGAAGTACTGCAGAGAGACTATTAGTTAGTCTGTTAAAGTTGCACTAGCTACTAATAAAATGGTAAACACTGTTACACTATTTTGTGTTCACCCCTTTTTTCTGTTTCAATCTACAGGCATATATTAACTATCGATCTGTTTGTGGATCCTGGATTGAGTATTAGCACTTTTTTTCTACACATATTTAGAAGTTACAAATTCTATTCCTGAAAGGCTTGGCTAAACAGGTACCGGTAGGTCTGGAGTCTTTGTTTAAAAATGTCCCGGGAGATGGTTTCTTTCACTGTGCTAGAGAAATTATTCCACAGAGATGGGGCAGCATGGCTAAAGGCCTGTAAACCAAGTGCAATATTTATTAGTGTGCTCTCACCACCCACTTTTTTCTATTGTGTATGTTTTGATGTGATTAAGTGACTTCACATAGGTGATTGTAGCACCTTGTTCCTGCTGTTTAACCTTATACCCTCTGTATTTGTGTAACTTCTAAATATGTTATTGTATATCTACGTCTACAGAGATTTGAGTCCAATGAGGAGAAAAGCGCTTTATAAGTTGTTGTTATTATTATTATATGCTTATTATTATTATTATTATTATTATTATTATTATCATTCTATGCTGTTTGATCCCATCAGAATCAGCAATGTGTATGCTGTCTTTCCAGGTCTTTCAAGGTACTGATCCTCAATCAGTGGACACCAGACTTGTGCATAACAGGATTATTCGGGTTGTTGCAACAATTTTTAATAAAATGTTTTTGAGATGTCCAACACTCATATTGTGACGGATCACAACATTGCCCATTAAAAACTATACAGTGAAACATCTGGACATGTAAGAAACAAGGAAATAAGAGCCTGTTAGCATGCTGCAAAGCAGAAATGGCTACAATATTGCCTAGCCTAATAGCCTTACAGTGTCAGTCATTTCTGCTATGCCAATCCTGAAAAGTCACCTTGTCAAAATTATATTATTATATTTCTCTTAAAAATTAAGGGAGAGAACTTAATTTCATAATGATGTTTGATTGTTTATTCTTTAGTAATCTTATTTTAATGAAAAATGGGAAGAACTGAAGCAGGAGTTCTTTTAAAGGCACACTATAGGGTCAGGAACACAAACATGTATTCCTAACCCTATAGTGTTAAAACCAACATCTAGATCCCCTGTCCTCCACCCCCCCATCCCCCACACTCATTAGAATAAATACATTAAGCTGTACTTGCTCTTGTGACTATAGTGTGCCTTGTACTGAAAGATATGGAATTAATATCTGAACAAAAAATATTCATATCTGAACAGAAAATATTATTATTATTATTATTTAATTAACGTTAATTTTCAAAAATGTTGTTCCCTATCTAATCATTATTCCGACCCTGGAAAGTAATGTTACTCTAGTCCAGTAATGGGTTAAAAATGTTTTTTTGGTATAATTGGAAAGGTTATATACATATCCGTATTGCCCATCCCTTTCTCTTGATATTTTTGATTAGTCACATTTACTTCTTTACAGTCATGATGCAGCAAGACAGCAAACCTAAAAAGTTTGTTAGATGCCAAACCAACTTAAGCATGCACAATACAGTTGTGCTCAAAAGTTTGCATACTCTTGCAGAAACTGCGAAATTTTAGGATTGATTTTGAAAATATGACTGATCATGCAAAAAAATCCTGTATTTTATTTTAGGATAGTGATCATATGAAGCCATTTATTATCACATAGTTGTTTGGTTCCTTTTCCAAATCATAATGATAACAGAAATCACCCAAATGGCCCAGATCAAAAGTTTATATACCCTTGAATGTTTGGCCTTGTTACAGAAACAGAAGGTGACACACACAGGTTAAACTGGCAATTAAAGGAGGGGCTGGGCCTGACCATCATGGCAGAGAGATGTGCTCTGCATGAGCTACCACAAAAGCCTGATATAAAAAGCTTAATACAGCCTGCACAAGCGGGAATTCGGGTGTCATCACTGACTCATCTGATCCCAACATCGGAGGACATGCAGTGGGGTGACAGGCGGCCTGAACAAGGCGCTCTTATCGCTAGTTGGGCCGTGCAGCCTGGTGCGCATCGGGCAGGAGAGGTGGACGCTCTCCTGGCACTTGGATGCCCTGGGATTGTCGGCGATGTACACAGGCCCCGTACCTCCCCCTCCCATTTGGACCAGCGGGGGTGATCCCGGTCCACATGAAGGAGGTTACCGTGATACTGTAGGAGAGTCGGAAGGAACAACTCGGGAAGAGAGCTGGTGCAGTGACTCACCTAAATTGGCGGACACAGCACATGTCCATTGTCCCACCAACGATAACAATGATATCCTGGCAAAACTGGACAGATTATTTGATGCCTTCTGGCACAAGCTGTAGCACAGGCAGTACCAATCTGCCTCACCACAACAGAGTGAGTCTCACTCTGAAGCCCACCTCTATCCCACCATCCAAGGGATCTGCCTTCGGCTGTCCAGTGGGCCCCAAAATACTTCTGTAGCAACACAGAGACAGGCAGGGTTCCAGTCCATGGCTGACGCTGGAGATGACATCGATGAGCCTCAGGGAATCCAGATTCTGACACATACATAGACACTCTGCCTGCTGGGCCCAGAAATTTGCAGTGTCCCTCTCTGAAGCAGGACTTTGCTCAGCCCCTGGAGGGTGTAGGATGACTTGTAGGATGGACTGGACGGTGCACAGCATCTATACTTAGCTAGCTAGAGATATTTCCTGTTCTGTTTCACCTACTATCTTGTTTCCCACCTCACATAGCTCCTTTCTTTTTTTTCCCTCTTAATGCTGAGGGAGCCTACCGTGTTAATCATTCTGGCATGCATATATAAGTTCTGTCTACGCATGAAGACCTAATCTGTGTATCATATCCTTGCTTTACTCACACATACCTAGCCTGGTTACTTTAATACAGTTAATACATCTATGCCTAGCCTGTTTTTCCAAACATAAAAATGTGGTACTGTCTCTGCCATGACAATGATTGTTACCAAATAGCTTGCTTTTACGGTTGTGACGGTGCAAGCCTGTATGTAATCTTAAGCACAACCAAAATAATGAATAGAATTTAAAAAAAAAAGCAATTATAGGTTAATTTCCCATACATGTGGCTTTTTAAATCACAATTAGTGTCTGTGTATAAACAGTCAATGAGCTGGTTAGCTCTCACGTTAATGCACTGAGAAGGCTAGATACTGAGCCATGGGGAGCAGACAATTACGGTCAAATGACCTGTGTAACAAGGCAATGAAACTTTATAAGATGGAAAAGGATATAAAAAGATATCCAAAGCCTGGAAAATGCCTGTCAGTACTGTTCAATCACTTATTAAGAAATGAAACATTTGAGGATCTCTTGATATCAAGCCACGGTCAGGTAGACCAAGAAAGATTTTAGCCACAGCTGCCAGAAGAATTGTTCAGGATACAATGAAAAACCCACAGGTAACCTCAGGAGAAATACAAGCTGCTCTGGAAAAAGACGGTGTGGTTGTTTCAAGGAGCACAATAGGACGATACTTGAACAAAAATTAGCTGCATGGTCGAGTTGCTAGAAAGAAGCCTTTGCTGTGCCAATACCACAAATAAAACCTGGTTACAATATGCCCACAACACCTTTCTGGCACACTGTAATTTGGAGTGATGAGACCAAAATAGAGCTTTATGGTCTCAACCATAAGCGCTATGTTTGGAGAGGGGTCAACAAGGTCTAAAGTGAAAAGAATACCATCCCTATTGTGAAGCATGGGGGTGGCTCACTGGTGTTTTGGGGTGGTGTAAGCTCTAAAAGGTTCTGGATTGGCCATCACAGTCTCCTGATCTCAATATCGCCGAGACACTCTGGGGAGCTCCCAAACGTGCAGTTTATGCAAGACGACCAAAGACTTTGCATGACCTGGAGGCATTTTGCTAAGATGAATGGGCAGCTTTACCACCTGCAAGACTTAGGGGCTATTACTTACTATTACAAAAGACTGCACACTGTCATTGATGCTAAAGTGGGCAAAACACAATATTAAGAACTAAGGGTATGCAGACTTTTGAACAGGGGACATTTAATTTTTTTCTTTGTTGCCATGTTTTGTTTTATTATTATGCCATTCTGTTACAGGTGGTCCTTGTTTTGCGACCTACCTGTTTTACGACGGCTCGCACTTACAACCAGCTCTCTCGTAGGGTGGTAAGCCATCGTGGGAATTAGAGGGATTCCCTGCTCTGCCGCGTTCTTTTATGTTTGTGGATATTTCCCTGAATATAGACGAACGCAACAGAGCAGGGAATCCCTCTAATCTATGTTCTGGGAAATTTCCCCACGCATAGATTAGAGGGATCCCCTGCTCTTGTGCATTCGTCTATATTCGGAGAAATGTCCCTGAATACAGACATGTGCACCAGAGCAGGGAATCCCTTAAATCTATGTTCGGGGAAATTTCCCAGAACATAGATTAGAGGGATTCCCTGCTCTGTTGCGTTAATCTATGTTCAGGGATATTTCCCCGAATAGAGAAGAACGCAGCAGAGCAGGTAATCCCTTAACTCCTCACTTACCGACCAATTCACTCTATGACTCCATAGGAAATAAAAGAAATGTGTTTTGCCTGTTCATTCATGTTTTCTTTAAAATGGTACATATATTACCAATTCTCCAAGGGTATTCAAACTTTTGAGCACAACTGTATATTATGCCATATTTTATCATTTGCATTTATTATAGTCATCCTTTGACTTTGCTTGACTGCATTTTTAGACAGACACTGTAGATGTAGTAGTCATTTTGCATTTTTAGAATTCTCAGGCATCCTAAAAAAACAAGAATTTCATAAATCAATCACCTTAGAAACCCATCTATTTCAAATTGTCATACAAGGACTTGTTAGCTTTGAACCACCTTGTAAAATTGCTTAAAATTACGGTAAATTAAGTGAAAGTATTTCTTTAATGAGAACTGAATACGTGCAATAATTTTCACCTTTACTACCTTTAACTCATATTGCACAAATAACACAAAATGAGGCCCATGTTTATGACGTATTTGTGTTATTTGTGGAAATTCTCAGTTGCAAAACATAGCAACAACATTTCTTAAAGCAACACTGTAAAGGTCAGGAACACAAACATATTCCTGACCCTATACTGTTAAAAACAGTGTTTACTGCAAAAAGCCTGCAGGGACGGATTATACTCACCAGAACAAGTTCCTTCTGTTGTCTGTAGTGTCCCTTTAAGTGATTGGGGATTAGGCAAGACCAGAAACAGTTAACTACATACAAATTACATTGTTTCCAATTCCATACATCCCTAGATATTATGATAATGATGACATGCCTGCGTATATATAATGCATTGTGTTTTAAATAGATATCCATTATTTTCACTTACCTATCTGTTACACAGAGTATCGACAGCAAACATTTTCCACAATGGGACATTTTGTCTTTCATTGTGCAAGCCCCCTTGAACTGGCTCAGCTAACCTTACCACTAATAGCAGCGTTATACGTGAGCTTAACCGGATCTTTTATTTCATTCTACTCTGTTACTTTTGTACTATTTATTCTTTGCATTATGATTTATCAGGGATTAGTGGCTAAAGTTAGAGTTTAATTGAGGTGCCTTCAAAGGCACATTGAGGGAATGACCCATCAATTTTTCTTGGAAAGGAGTTTTCGTTTTCTCAGTTATCATTTCAGAAACTTTTTGGGCAATTTTCACTTTCTACCCTACGATAGTGTCTACAGTGTTTCCATTACTTATAACTATGTAGCGATGATGCTATGTATATATATATATAGAGACTGATATTTTTGGCTATAGTATGCAGTGACTGATTGTAGTGAAACATACCTTTTCATGTTATAGATATTGGTTAATAGTATGGTTTTAATTAAATTGAATTAAAAATTAAGTTTTATATGGGATTTCTTAGTTTTTCTGATAAATGCCTGTAGGGACTAACTCCAATCCCATAGCTTCCTCCTCTTATTTATTATCCCATTAGCTCCACTTTTTGTAAAACAATTCATTTACTATAGCTGAAGGATAAGAGTATTCCCTGTTTGGCCATCCTAGTTTGATCCTACATTTTTTAATCAGCTTTTAATTTGGTATAGCTATTTTTTTCATTAGACTTGTGCATTTGGTTTCTCTTGAATTCCAAATCCCCTGAAATTTAGGTGATCATAGACTTGTCCGAAATGCCGAGCTCCAAAATAGCATATGGACAAATCCCGAAAAAAAATCAAATGAACAATCGACAAGCCACTTTGCTTCATGATTGTTTCATGATTTGGAGTTCTGTCTAAGGCACCAAAAAAAAATGGTTAATGGTTCGGGGACAGACACTAAATGTTTTATTTTATTCACTGATCAAGTTCATGGTGGAGGGGACCCGACAGCTTGCTCTGTATGCCGCTGGGTGCGTGGCCCCTCCAGTCTGCCCTGGAGGAGAAGAGCTCCTATGGCCGCCGGTCTGCAGTTCCGCACTCTGCCACACTCACCCTGCCACATTAACACGCTTTAATCCTGGCACACTCCTCCCTCCAACCATGCCACCTTCACTCCAACCCTGTGATACTCACCACCCCAACTATATCACACTTACCCTGTCACATTAACCCACTCAATCCTGTCACACTCGTCCCACACTTACCTCCACTTGCCCTGTCACACTCCCTCATCAAACCATGTCATACTCCATCTTCCTCATTCTCTCTCACAATCACATTCACACATTCTCCCCCCTTCACCCTGTCACGCTCTCTCTGCCACTGGTACCCCTTTGCTCACCCTTTCACAGTCACCAACTGAAGACATTCATCATACACACACACAGTCAGGAAACATAGCTTTGCCATAAACACAATGCACAAAGGCCACAGGCAGACCCCCATACACACAACACACTTCAAGCAGCTACTCCATACACATACAGTCTCAAACAAAAACGCACACATGCTCACAGAGACATACATTCACACTCACTCTCTGTCAGACACACACTCTCAGGCACATGCACAGGCAGACAGTGCAAGACATATTCAAAAATACACACAGCCAGATATACATTGTGACTTCATGTCTGTATTTGTTAATGTGTGTGTCTATGTGAACCAATGTGTATATGTGTGCATGTTTTGCAACTCTATTTTTTTTCACTTTTGGTGTTAGTGGGGCCTCATGTTTGAGTTTTGTCTAAGGCTTCATAAAGTCTAGAGTTGCCTCTGCTTAAAAATATATGTATTTTCAAAAAAATAGACTACTAAAAACCAAATTCATTTTAGTTCAGAATGTGTTAAATAATATAAAGGATAATAATAATAATACTGTCTAAACTAAAGGTTATACAACCGAAAATGTGTAATCAGGA